CCATCTCTGCCATCTACCATACACTCCCTGTACTCTCTCTCCCTTCCCTTCCCCCCTCGCTCGTTCTCTCTCTCTCTCTCTCTATCTCTCTCTCACTCTCGGTTCTCCCCCTCTGCCCTATAACAATACATACGAACACATAGATTATAGATATACGAGAGAGAGAGAGAAAGAGAAAGAGAGAGAGAGAGAGCGTGATCCACCGTCGCTTTCCTGTGGACAAATTCCCCCCCCTGTTCCTCCGGAGCCAGGGGGTCCCCCCCCCCTCCGAAAATCCCCCCCCTCCTGCTGGACCCCCCCCTTCCCCCGGCAAAGCCCCCTCCCTCCCGTACCCGACCCGCCCCCCCCCCGCCGCCCCTCCACCAAACCGGCCGGGGGGGGTCACTACCAGTTCGAACCCTCCTCCCCCCCTCGGAAAACCGCGGGGGGGTCATTACCGGTTCGAACCCCGCCCCAGAAAACCAGAGGGGGGTCACTACCGGTTCGAACCCCCCCGCCCCCCTCCAGAAAACCGGGGAGGGTCACTACCAGTTCGAATCCCCCCCCCCGCCCCGTCCCTCGAAAACTGGGAGGGGTCACTACCGGTTCGAATCCCCACCCCCTCCTCCTCGAAAATCGGTGGGGGTCACTACCGGTTCGAAGTCCCCTCCCCCCCCCCTCGCCGCCAGCAAACGACTCCCGGTCCCTACCACCGTCCGCACCACATCCCCCACTGCTGTTCCCAGCACCACTGTCCTCACCACCACTGTCCCCGCTGGTTCCACCACCGTCCCTACTGTCCCCACCAGTGCCCCCACCACTGTCGCACTGTCCCCACTGTCCCCACCACTGTTCCCACCACGGTTCCATTCTCCCCACTTTCTCCACGGCCCCAACCACTGCCCGACTATCCCTAGTGTCCCCACTGTCCCACTGCCTCCTCCGCTGTCCCACTGAGCTGTCCCACTGTTCCCACCACTGTCCCCAATGTCCCCACCACTGTCCCCACTGTACCTCTGTCCCATTGTCCCATCGCCGTCCTGGCCACCGCCCTCACCACTGTCCCCACCACCACTGTACCCTCCACTGTCCCACTGTTTCCACCACATTCCCACTGTCCCCACACCACTGTCCCCACCACCACCGTCCCCACCACTGTCCCACTGTCCCCACTGTTCCCACCATTGTCCCCGCTGTCCCCACCAGTGCCCCCCACCATTGTGTCAATGTCCCCACTCTCCCCGCCATTGTCCCACCACGGCCCCACTCTCCCCACTTTCCCCACCGTCCCCACCACTGTCCCACTGTCCCCACTGTACCCACTACTGTCCCACTGTCCCGCCGCTGTCCCACTGTGCTGTCCCAGCGTCCCCACTGTCCCCATCACTGTCCTTCTGTCCCCACTGTCCCCACCACTTTCCCCACCGTGCTACTGTCCCACCACTGTCCTCACCACCGCCTTCACCACTGTCCCTACCACTACCGTCCCCACCACTGTCCCACTGTCCCCACCACTGTCCCCACCACCACCGTCCCCACCACTGTCCGCACCCCCCCCCGGTTTTCGAGGGGGGGGGGGCGGGTTCGAACCGGTAGTGACCCCCCCCCCGTTTTCGAGGGGGGGGTCAGTGTCCCACAATCCCCACTGTCCCCACCACTTTCCCCACCGTGCTACTGTCCCACCACTGTCCTCACCACCGCCTTCACCACTGTCCCCACCACTGTCGTCCCCACCACTGTCCCACTGTCCCCACCACTGTCCCGCTGTCCCCTACCACTGTCCCCACCACCACCGTCCCCGCCACTGTCCCCCCCCCCCCCCGGTTTTTCGAGGGGGGACGGGGGGGGGTTCGAACTGGTAGTGACCCCCCCGCGGTTTTCGAGGGGGGGGGGGGGAAAGGGGGTTCGAACTGGTAGTGACACCCCCCCTTTTCATGATGGACCGGGCGGGGTGGGGGGAGTGGGGTGCGAACCGGTAGTGACCCCCCCCTGGTTTTCAGGAGGGGGGGGGGGTTCGAACCGGTAGTGGCCCCCCCCGGTTTTCCGCCAGCAGCGGTAGAACACGCTCTTTCATATATATATATATATATATATACAAGTGGCACGTGTGTGCCCAGGCTCATACAAGCAAAAACTGGAAGGGCGTTTGAAGCAGGAAGACACCATGACGGCGGGATCGGAGATGGAAAAGGGGAAGCTGGGGCGGCGCCGCCAGGGCGTGCCAGGCCCCAGGGTTGTGAGTGTTGTGTGTGATGTGTGCTCTGCGAAGTGCGCGTTTTCTGTGCGTTGTAGGTGTTGTGTGTGTGTGTGTCATGTTCGTCTAGCGTGTGATGTGTTGGGTGCTATTTGTGTCTCTTTGTGTGCATGTAATTCAGAGGCCCCAGGAGGCCCCAGGAGGCCCCAAGCGGCCTCAGGAGGCCCAAGGAGACCCCAGGAGGCTCCAGGAGGCCCCAAGAGGCTCCAGGAGCCCGTAGGAGGCCCCAGGAGGCCCCAGAAGGTTCCAGGAGGCCCCCAGGAGGCTCCGAGGCGTGGTCTGGGGTACCAGAACAACAGAAAACCCCAGGAGGCCCCAGGAGGTTCCAGGAGGCCCCCAGGAAACTCCGAGGCGGGGTCTGGGGTACCAGAAGGTACGTCGGGGCTCGTTTTTGTTGGAGGATGTCTCAAGCGAAACCGCCATTATCTGAGAATCGGGGTCGAAATCATTGTACTTACAATGTGTTTATGTATATATATATATATATATATATATATATATGAAAGTTGTATGTTCGAATGTTGAATTTCCCATGTGTTGTTGGACCCTGGCGTCACGATCTGTGTGAGGGGTGCCACCGATTTCAGAATTTCGAAGATGTCCCTAGCAAAACGGCCAGAAACATCGCGAACGACGCGGCGCGTACGCAGCAATCGCCTCTGAGTTATACTCCCTCGGAGAGGTGCGTATGATAATCTATATGTATAATTATATACACATATATATATGTGCATATGCATATCACACACATATATACGTATATGCACTCATCCTGACATACATACATATATGTATGTAAGTAGGTATATGTATACATGTGTGTATATATATATATATATATATATATATATATAACCACGCGCGCGCTACGCGCGCGCTTAGGTTCTAGTCGCGGCATCCTGGCGCCAAAAGATGCCACGGCAAGCAATGCCATCGACAGCGGATCTCGTTCCAGAGGGTCCTGAAGGCCGACCCTCCTGGAGCTTTGGAAATATCGTACTGTGCTGCCTCCTTCCTGGCGTAACTCCGTCTCAATGTTTCATTGCAGGAAGGTTCCAGAACTGCCTGGACTGGACCAGGCTGAATCGAACGGCTGCGAACCAGCGCCCCCTCCAACACGAATCGAACCTAACTGGAATGGTCGCGGTAAAGACCCGAATCGGACCAAACCAAGATCGCTCGTGGACCGAATGGAACCGAATCAGACCGATACGGACCGAACCGGAGCTGCAAATCCACCCCAGGGAGTGGGGAACGAAACCCGAGGCCTAACAGAGAACTGCCCGGACCCCCCCTGCTCGTCATCCTTGTCGGCCTCCTCCTCGCCCTTTGTTTTCGTGCTCGCCCTCGTCCTCGTTCGCCTTCGTCTCCTCCCTCGCCTTCGTACCAGAGCAGTTTGTAAAATAACACGATGGCGCAATTCTGACGCCAGGCCTCCGACGATAAGACTGTTTCAGTCGCGGCGCATGTCTTTCGTGTTGGCCTCCAAGGGCCACTTTCGGGCCCCGGGGGGCCATCGAAGACGGATCTGGGGCGCGAAACTGCCCAAGGGGAGACGGTCGGGAGGTCTCCGTGAGCCACATAATGAAAACCAAAAAAAGTATCGGAGGATGTCTGTTCTCGTGGAGGACGTCGAACAGCTGAGTTGCCTCCCGCGACACGCGAGGGGGGCCCTGAGGGGCCGCCGCCACTGCTCGCCCGTCGCTCGCGCGCCGAGCCCAGCTCTGCAGTCGGCCTCCAGCTTCGCCTCCCACATCTCGCAGGGCGGCGCCGAGGGGCCGCCGCCACTGCTCGTCCTTCTCATGCGCGATGGTCCCAGCACTGCGTCTAGCGAGGGCGACAACGACGGCAGACTCCAATTCGCCCTCTTGTCAACGTTGATGTCGGCCCAGCTTGGCAAACGCAGGTGCTAACATTAGAATTTTGCCAACGTGAGGCCCATTGGCCATCATTGCTACCATGCCCTTGAAATCGGTGTCCTGGGTTCTTGGAGTGCTTGCTTCCGGTAGGCTATGGTTGCATCACGTCGTCGTCTCAGAACTGCCGCAAACCACTGCGCAGCGGAACTTCAGCACCACCCTCCAGAGCCCCGCTCGAACCAGACCCGTGACGCATCGGGCACATCCCAAGAAACACGATGTTCCCTTCGATCTGCTACAGAAGAAGACAAGACGGCATACACATAAACTATCGGAGGTCTGTGTCGATTTCTTGGATCGGCGCCAGACCCCCCTCCCCGGCGGGCGGAGTGCGCCGCCAGGGGGGGCCCAGCGCAGATCCAGGAAATCCGCGCGGAGCTCCTAAAGTTCATGTTTACGCCGCTGCTTCTGCTTCCATGGTAGACGCTCCACAGCGCAGTAAACTTACCAGAGGAGGGTCAGATGAGACAACGGCAGCTCTCTCGCCTGGCCCAAGTCCGCTCAAAGTCTGCCCATCCTGACCCGTGTTTCGAGGCGGGCCCCGCAGTGGCGGCGAAAAGCCTCCAGGAGGAGGCCCACAAAGGTCGAAAAACGCGGGCCACGGTTGTCTCGACTGGCCCTCCTCCCCTGAGATCCGACGCTGCGAAACAACTGCAACATCGCGCAGAATCGCGACCAGAGCACAAAACCATGCGAAAACACCCAGCGTGTAACAATTGCAACGCCCAGACCTCAAAGGTCCGAGCTTATCGACATTCACCGCTCTCGCGGGGGAGCCTCACAGCCACAGCACCCGGGAGCCCTGGGCCCCCAGCGCCCCCTCGAGCTCGGGCAGCGTGCCGAGCAGCTCAGCGTGGACGGCGGGGGGCGGGTTCACGACCAGCATCCCGGACCCCTGCAGGGCCTTACGGAAGAAGAAGAAGAAGGAAGAGAGTCGCAAACTCCCTCGCGTCATCAAAAAACACAAGACGGTTTACTGTCTATTTTCGCCCTCTGGGGGCCCTCGCCGGGCCCTGGGACAGTGAAATGATTCAGGGTGAAAAACCGGTCTCAGGGAATGGTCCGAGACCTCTACGGGTCGACGTTGCGAAATAGTCTAAATAATCAGGACGTCGGGGGTCCGGGGTCGGGATTGACACGCAGCAGAAACATACGACAAGACATCTTGTTATCAGAAAAAGCATTGGGGCACGTTTGTCGTTGATTCTTGAGTTTCCTGATGTGCCCCAGGACTTCTGTGGACCCACAGGGCTATCATAAAGGGGCCCAAGAGCACACAAATGAATAGACACAAATCCCATGATTTCCCATGGCTCCAAATATTTTCTGGGTTTTCGTCGCCCCCCCT